TTGATGACACACACCAATTGCACAGGGCTATCCATCCAAAAAAAAAGAATATGTAATTTGAATCAGTATGCATAAAGGTATATACAATTTAAATTGCCATGTCATCGAATGAATTTTGGAAGTGTGTATCAGAGATACAGAAAGTGATAATTTTAATACTTTGTATGACCTCTGTTGGCTTTTATCACTGCTTGGATGCTTCTAGGCATACTTTCAATTAAATTCTGACACACCCCTGGGTCTATATTATTCCACACCACTGGCACTCTCTCCTGAACCTCCCAAACACCATTTGGCTGTGTTGAACACTACTAATAATCTACTTTCCAGACTCCACCCTCACCTCTGCATGAAACCTGCACAGCCACCGAATGAAACCTATCCTTCTGATCCAAGAAGGATGTCCCATCCTACCTGGAGTGCAACCTTTAGTCAGCAAGTGCAACCACCCAATGGGGAGAGTGCAACCCTTAGTCAGCAAGCACAACCTCCATTGCTCTTAAGATACATGCATCTTGCACTACAGGAGAGAGCACAACCTTTAGTCAGTGAGCACAACCACCCAATGGGGAGAGCACAACCCTTAGTCAGCAAGCACAACCCCAATCCAAGAGAATGGCCAAATCTGTGGGATTAGCCCTAATAGAGTGATGGATTGTAAATAAGAGTGCCTCCAAGGTGGATTCCTTCAGATCAACTGGCACATTGGACTTTGAAGTAGCACTGAGGGCTTTGATGACAGTTGCCCACTGCTCAGGTGTGTGGGTAATCTGCAGCTGTCACATTCACTAGCAGGTCATATCCACCATCTGGAGCTCCTGATGTCCTTGCTTGCTTCTTGTGGTGTGTATCAGTGTCAAAGCCATCATCAGGAGTCAGCCATTTATCTAGGGTGTGATATGCACATTAGCATACATGTATACTAAAATTGTCAATAAATTTTATTACCTGAACCAGATGGCCCACTGTGGGCAGAAGATTCATCATGCAAATTCAATGCATGATGTGATGCACTGGGGGGGGGGGGGGGGGGCCAGCAATTGCTGCCTTTGTGCTAAAAATCCATCATTTTAGTATACATGTATATTAAAATTCATAATAAAGACACAAACCTGTTGATGTACTTGGGCCCTCACTGTCAGATCCATCATCAGGTTGGGGGAGGATGCAAGATGGCTTCTTCTTTGCAAACTTCCTCACATGCCTAGCCATCTTGTCTGGGGCATGCTGCTGCTCCAACCTTGCCTGTTCTGAATAGGCTATGGTTGATGTAGAATGCAGTGACTGCACTGCATATGGATCAAGCTCAGCTGTCATGTGTCCTCACCAGAATTCTTGAGCCTCAAGGGGATTCAGATATTGCAGGCTTTGGAAATCTGACCCAAAGCCAGCAGTCCCAAGAAGTTCTTGGATCATGGGGAATGGAGCTGTATGGGTCAGGTCTGCAGTGGGCTCCTGCAAGCACATGGTCTTTTTGACTGTTACTGCTGCAAGACTCTAAAATAATAATTTTAGTATACATGTATCTTAAATTTCAGAAATAAACCAAATACCATCAAAAAATTCTCCAAGGGCATTTTCAGGTCAGGGTCAAGCTTGGCAGTGCTTTCACCATCACACAACCCCAGTGTTGGCACAGATATTAGCTCGACAATCTTCTGCATGGCATTAACATTTTGGGCTGTGATATGTGGTGCACTTGCAGCCCATTCCACTGCTGTCCCCAATGATTCACTAGCATACTCCTTGGGCATCAGTGCCAATAATGGATTTGAAGGAGACAGGATGGGCTGACTCTCCATGCCATCCCAATACAGCCAGGGGGCTTGAGACTTTGCACATGGACCAAAACCTTGGAATAAATCAAGCACACTTTGCTGCAGGTCCCAGATTGTAGGGATTTAAAGTAACTTCTCCCACTCAGTTAAGCAGTTAACCTCAAGAAGCATGTCAGTGATGAATGTTTGAGAATATTTGTTAGGAGTGAGTTGCTCCCAGGGGAAAGGGGTGAAATGGAGGATATCATGAACATTGCAGAAGTAACTTTTCCTCTCTTCTGAAACACATCCATCAAGACCTGCATTGAGTGCAGCAATGCTTGCTTTGGGTCAGGCCAATGATGGCTTAGTACCATCAAGTTCAATGTGATAGGCCTTCAAGAAGGTCTGGAAGGTGTCCAGCCATTTGACATCACCAATGGCATCAAAGAATGGCTTGATTTGGTCCTTCTGCTTTTTCTCCCAGTCATTGGTGAACAACTTTGCTAACCCAACCCTCACTTGTGTAAGGGCAACTCAGCAGTGGCAAAAAAGCATTGCAATAAGCTGTGGTTTGATGAATATAAAGTACACTGAACAATGACATAGTATTACCTCATTGACACAGTTTTATTGCTTCACAATGTCCTTGGTGTCCAGACAGGTTTTCAAAAATGCCATAACTCCACTTATGATGCATGTCCATGCTCGATTTGCTCCACACTGGCCTGTGATGGGATACTGGCAGAGTGGAAATAACCAATCTGCCACCTATATTGAATATTTTAGTATACATGTATACTAAAATAATACAATTTCGACTCACCTCTGCAAGGGCTGGACCATAATTGATGTCATTGCCAAAGTTGTCCTGTTTGCACACTGTGATCTTGGAAGTGTTCCAATTTCCCATGATCACAATCATGCTAAGTTCAGTAAATAGGGGGCATGGAGTGTTGAGATGCACCCTTGGTTCTTGGACTGGGTGGAAGCCATGCCAAATCCACTGTAACTTGACAATGAGATTGTCCAAAACAGGCCAAGTGACATGTCCAGCAATTCTTGTGTCAAGCAGATGATTTCATCAAAGTATTTTGCATATGCAGAGATATAAGTGCTTTTCTCCTCAGGCTCTTCTGTGCCAAAGAGGTGCATTGTTGCTGATAATTTTTCAGAAAAATGGTGTTCCAATTTCCCAGGAGGCAATCAACTCCAAATGTATCCAACACTGTGGTCATTGGTGGCTGAGTTGGGTTTTTGAACATTCTGCCAACCTCAGCATGAATCTGTTTCAGCAGACAGATGCAATCTTCTTCAGCCAATCCATGATTGGGCACATGGCAACCCAAAATTTGATGACAAGCAGTCTGCCAGTCCTCCATTTGAATGGGGGAGGCAAGAAAGTCTAGTACTGACAGCATGGGTTTGAATATTGCCAGGAAGAGCTGCAATGGTGAAGGAATTTAGTTTGCATGTATTCTAAAATTATTAATTAATTAAATTTACTTACACCTGTGAGGTGTGGATTTGAATTGTCATATATAAGTGAAACTGTCAAAAGTTTTGAGCTTTCCAGGGATGTATAAGCAAAGACTTGAGCAAAGAACTTCGCCAACTCTTAGTGAGAGATAATGAATGCAGGGTGGACAGAGTTTGCCTCCTTTGAATCTGACCAGGAACATGCAATCTGTGTGTACACCATGTTCGCTTCAACATCAGATTTTCCACACAGAAGGTGGAGATTCTTCAATTTTTCTGTGTCAGTGTCCACCTTTTCAGGGCATAGTCAGTTTACTGAGAGATGAAAAAGGATAACTGATTCCTGTGGTGACTGGAAAATGAGGTCTTCACACAATTAGTATACATGTATACTAATATTAAATATTTTTAGGACTTACTGAGATCAAAAAATTCAACAAGCCACACAGCTTTCTGGCTCAATTTCTCATTGATCTTCTCCAATTCCTTTGCAGCATCACCTTTCTGCCTTTCATTCTGCCCCTCATGAATCATCACAATTGCATCTTGGCAGTGAACAATGTCCTTTTCATACAAAGTTTGAATGAGTGTAACATGGTGATTACCATTGATGAGGAACATTTCTGCCCCTGGTCCTGTTGCTTTGCCACTCCATTGAATGAAGTTTTTGTAGGGAGTGAGTTGGGCAGCAGTCTCCAGCCCACCTGCAATGAATGATCGGTCAATGCCAACTTGAATGGCTTCACTCATCATATGGTTTTGAAGTCCATCTGCATTGGCATTGTTCATCATCTTCCTCACCAACAAATGTTGCAATGGCCAGGGGTTGAACACTTGACATTTCAACTAAGGCCCATGGCCCAAGTCATCACTTGTGGCAACACACATCAGCCCCCACCCAATTTGAACTTTGTTCAATAGCTGTCAATCTCATCCATCTCCCTAGTTGCAGCTACTTCTTTTGTAACCTTGGTTGAACAAAGGTGCCAATTTAGTATACATGTATACTAAAATTATGAAAATAATTTGAAAAGAAGCAAGTTGATCTCTTGCAACAGAGGGACCTGTTGAAAATTTGTGGATACCTTATGTTTGGTGTGTGAGCCTAAAATAAGAAATTGATGAATTAATTACAAATGTAATTATTTCGAAATCACTCCAGACACCTACAGCAGTGTTTGTACTCATTATTGTTTATTTGTCAAAGTTTGGTTGTAACTAAATTTGTAAGGTGGTTGTATGGGTTCAAGGTGTAAGCATCACTTGGCAAAAAGTTATGGCAGTATATATACCCAATGTCACAAATATTGAAAAATGTTTGTCGAAATGTACAAATATTTACACAATGACATCATGACTCAAATCCACATGTCTAAAATCAATTAGCTACAAAAATAGCCTAATGCATAGCAAACTGATGACATGGCCACAGCCTCCATTCAACCTGCCATCAAGTGATTCATTTCAAGTGGAGTTTGAAATTGAGATGCCCTGGATTACACCTTTTGCTACATCTCTTCTTGAACTTGAACTTCTTTCTATTTCCTCCTTGCTCATTTGCACCTTCCAATTGCCATTATACCATACACATGTTCAAAGTGCACCATCACTTTTGAGGTGAAGAATGAATATACTATGCATCAGAAGAGATGTGCTGGTGGTAGGGTGGATGGACAGATAACTTTTTTTTTTTTAAGGAGACCAATCAAATAATCACTGTTACACCAAATATTCAGGGGCTATTTGATTGCTTCTGTTCCCATCATGGTTGCCCTGGAAAAAAGGGGTTACACCACTGTGGAAGGTTTGAAGAAGCATATGCATAAACTAAAGACAAGATGGATAGGACAGGTAAGCATTTGTGCCATACCTTTTACAGCAGTTTGCAGTACTGAGGGCACCGGCCAAACACAACAAAACTCATAGGTATCCTAGATAAAATATATGTCTCAAATATTTCACTCAATTCTTGATGGATCTGAAAGAAAATTTGATATTCTGAATCAGCATTATCAGCTCTAGGGGATGATGTAGAAATCATGATGAAATAGCCGCTATTTTGGACAGGAAAAAATACTTGGTCATTCTGAGCATATAACAACAATTGCAAGTGATTTACACATTTCTATGGCTGTAAATGCCTCTAGCCATGATCTATACACTGGTGGTGAGAGAACCATGGTGAAAATCCAGTGGTTTTTCCATTGTTTTGTACCAACAGAGAGCAATCTGCACTCCAAATGGTGCCAATCATGTAACAAAAATTGCTCACTCCACATTGCATATTTTTTTACAAAAGTTTCAGATCCATAAAGCCCTTCAACATACCTAGGGAACAGTATCATACAGAAACACGCTTTGTTTCGCACTTGTTGAGGTAGTTGTCCATGCCTGTCTTATCTTTGTGTGTGAGTTGTGCATGCTGACTAATGAGCCTCATCCCAGACATGCACTGCACACAACATGTCTTCCTCATGGGTAACAAAAAGTCTGCAAGTGCTTGCAGGCTGCGAAAAACTGGCTCCCAAAGCAGTTTTCCCATCAATCAAGTTCCTGACACTAGCTCCATCTGTTCCCAGGACATGGCACCTTGTTCAGAAACTCCTGACCTTGACAAGGAATGATCCAGCATTCCTTGGGCAAGGTGAAGAAATTGATGACAATGGAGAGTACTGGGAAGATGATGAGGATTGGGAGGCTACAGAAGGAGAGGAGCTACCTGCTGAGCTCATGAGTATATGGATGCCCTCATCCATTGGAGCAACCAAACCGATGGAGCTTGGCCTTCATGACCTCCTCAAAGAAGAAATGGAACTCAGGATTGGGCAAGCTAATGATTGTCTGGACCAGCTCCGAACCAACCTTGGACACAAGGCAATGTTATACAGACAGAACTTCCACAGTGCACAATAAACTAGGGAAGGTACAAGAACCAAGCAGGACATCCAAAAAGTGGTGGCTCGGATAAACAAGCAGGTCAGAAGTTATCAGAGGGCAAGGCAGGCCATTCTCCAGTTGGAACCCAATCAAGAGATTGGACAAAAATATCAGGCTATTCAGCCCCAGGACCTGGCAGTGCGTAAGGATGTTACAGAGGAGAACCGGTTTGGGCAGGGAACCAGCAAAATGGCATGGTTTTGGATGATGGATGGTGAACAGGGTCAACTGAATGCTGAGAAGGGGGGTTTAATGGAGGAGTGTAAGTGTTAATACTACTCAAAAAAATCTCACCGATAAATTGTGGGGCAGTTTACAGGATCAACTGGCTCAAAGCAAGGGCAAGAAGGGACAGGTGGAAAGAAGAATTGTCATTGGTGAGGCATGAGATGGTTTGGGCCATCTTATGGTTTGAGTTCCAGAAGGACACATGGGAGAAAAGGGCTCTACAATTGTTGGAACCAGGGAAAAAGGCTTATGCTCATAAGCAGATAGTGTTGTGGACTGACTTTTCCAAAAAGGCCCAATTGATGTTCCAAGGTAAACAAATGGATTGTATTTAGAACATGGGTATATGTGTATAGTTTTTCCGATTACCCTTGCTTTGCACTTGGTATCTGAATCAAAGTGAATAGCAAATACATCAAAACAATCATACCATAATGGTACCTTTCCTAAAAGAGTGATGGCCAAAAACTTCAACCTCCTGCCTAAATTGGGAAAGGCTGAAAAATTTTCACCTTGCTTCCAACCTCCATCATCTGTGCTGCTAATTATCCCCCTGATTTTATTCTCTCATGGCTGATTGGTCTGAAGTCTACTCTGATCTGCTGTCCTCCTATGTGGAGCAGTACACAGATGCCTGAGGGAATCCTGACCTCAGGGCCCAGATCCTGGCTGATGTGAAATCCCAGATCCTTCAGCAAGCATCTTCAGGATCTGTGGAATTGCCCCAGAACTTGAGAGTGGTAGGGTATCTTTTTCATCAAGTTTCACATATCTCAAGTGTATTTAGGCCATCAGAAGGGTGTTTTTGCCAGAACTAGACCCTGAAGACCAGGATGATGAGGAACACATCATTGAGAGCATCCTGGCTGCAACAGACAAGAGGAAGGAGCAGCCTGGGACTGGTGAGGATGAGGATGGCAGAGAGGAGAGGACCAGACCTACCAAGGCTGGAAATTACAGAAAACCCTTCACTGATTTTACTGCCTCCCAGCAGCTCTTCAAAGAGGACATGGATGCCTATGATAGGGAGAGGAGGGACACCAAGGACCCCAAGACCATAGGTCAGAGGACCAAAATCATCCAACAGTGGTGGGAGTCTCTTGCAGATGACAAGAAGGCTGAAGCAGGGAGGGCTGCTTCCAAGTGGAATAAGTTGGGAGCTCCAAAAGAAACTCATGAATTGTCAGTGCTGGTCTACTTCAAATGTCTTATACTAATCATGCAATAATTCAGGTACAGGAGAAAAAATTTTCCCAACATGGCCAGAGACTTTATTGAAACAGTCAGGAGGACCATGGGGTCAAATATAGTGATGTTTCTGGCTCATGAGACTACTGATTCTCAGATCAAGATGGCAGTGTAGGTTCCCCTTTACCTTGTCTATCCAATGCTAATGAAGAAACCTAGCTTTGAAACACAACCCCCTGATGGGAAGAAGGCCTTCTCAGAGTCTTCAGAGCCCACCAAGGATTGGGTTCTAAAGGGAGAGCAAATGTTAACCAATTATCTTTTGACTGAAGCTGGTAAGTGATAAACGTTGGTGATCAATGTAATATGTGTACCTATGTTGATTCCATACTCAGCTGAGGAAGATTTGAATGATGAGAATCCAAAGGTGGAGATAGCCTTGGATGATGAAGGAAACCCAGAGGTACCAGCTTGGACTGGTCAGAAACTCAAGGTCCAGCAGAGTTTGGCAAGAATGGTCTTCCAGGCTGCCTATGGTATGTTCTTGATTGTCAAGTGCATCTACAGTTGTTGATGGAAGTTGGAAACATAGCAAAGTTTACAGGGAAGCCCAAGGCCAAGGTTCCCTGGGGCCTGCTTATCAAGTCCCATTTGGAGTATCTGAGTTCCGATTCCATCCCAGAAGGATTTGTGATGAAAGATCCTTCAAAATGGACCAAGGCCAACATGTGGATGCTTTGGAATCATTGGAATTCCCAAGAGGAGGAGGATAAGGTGATTGTTTCATTCATCAAGTGCAAAAAGGAGGACGAGCCATTGGGAAGGCCCTGGAACAGGAAAACCCCATCCAAAAAGAGAGAGTGGATGAGCCCTGGGGAGGACAGTGAAGCTGGGGTGGAGGCCAAGCCCTCAGATTTAGGGGAAGAAATTGGTGGGGCTGGTATGACCCCTATAGCAACTTCATCAGGGGCCCAGGATATCCTTGACTCTGGGAGGGCCCCATCTGAAGATACCCCTCATGAATCCAGCCCTGCTTGTCATGCCAATGGGGACAGGGTGAAATATTTAAAGTCCCTTTGCATCATGCCCAGGTACCAGGAACTTGTTGAGCTTGTAGATGGCTTGCCAGAGACAGTAAGTGATAAACTTTCTTCAAATACCAGGTTAACAAACATTTTGTACAGGAACCTGATGCTGGACCAGTCAACCTGCCTGTCTGGGCATCTTGGGCCTGGAGTGCCCAGTATTTGCCCCAGGAGATGCATGGCAATGGGGATTCCTTCTGGAAGGCACTGTATCAATTGCAAAGTGAAAAGTTTGCATCCACCCAGAAAGGTCTTACCATTGTACTGGGATTTGGTTTGTTGTGGAGGGAGTGCAAAAGAGCACAGGACATAGAATCAGATGACCCTGAAGCTGCTAATCTGGGCTTTTTGCTAGGCTCAGGTCTTGATATCCACAAGGGGGAAGATGTTATGGGTGCAGTGGGGCTGGTAGTTGCAAGACTGCAGCAGAATTCTGGTGGCTCAAGCAGAGGGATTGGTGCACAGGAAACAACTGGGGTCAGTGCAGGGGATTCCTGTCCCACCCAGGGGGGTGGCATGAAGGAATCCTGGAATACAAGAAAGGATGTGAGGAAAAGAAAAAGGGGAGGCAGTGGGGATGTTGATCAGAAGATGGCAAAGGAGGGTGAAGAGGCAAGCAAGAAATCAACTAGAGCTCGTCAACCAACCAAGAGAGCTCTGGGTCTTGGTCTATAAATAAACTGTAGATGGTGTGAATCAAAAGGATCCCTATATATGGCTACCCATGCTCATTGCAAGTTTCAAACCCTGTGAGATCACTGACATCACCTGGAGGTGAAGAATGGCCATGGATTCAGGGGGTAAGGCCACCCCCCAGTGAGGTTGGCCAACACTGGTCTCAGGGGGTATGTCCATCTGGAAGTGTCATCAGAGTCAATACTTCTGGTAACATCTATATTGACAAGCAATTGATTATGCCAAGGGAATTTTCAGGGTTTGGCCAACCCTACTTCCAGGTGGTGAGGTCTGTGTCCATCCCCCAGTGAAATCGGCTGACACCACTTCCAGGGTGTGAGTCCATCCCCCAGTGAGGTCAGCCGACACCACTTCCAGGGTGTGGTTCCATTGCCCAGTGAGGTCGGCCGACACCACTTCCAGGGTGTGGGTCCATCCCTTAGTGAGGTCAGCCGACACCACTTCCAGGGTGTGAGTCCATCCCCCAGTGAGGTCAGCCGACACCACTTCCAGGGTGTGAGTCCGTCCCCCAGTGAGGTCGGCCGACACCACTTCCAGGGTGTGGGTCCATCCCCCAGTGAGGTCAGCAGACACCACTTCCAGGGTGTGGGTCCATCCCCCAGTGAGGTCGGCCGACACCACTTCCAGGGTGTGAGTCCATCCCCCAGTGAGGTCGGCTGACCTCCCTCCAACATGTCGGCCTATCCACCATCAGGGTCTATAGGCCGATGTCGGTTAGTCCCACTTTCAGGACCAAATGTGCATGTCGGATGACCCACTTTCTGGATTACATGTGACTGAAGGGTCTGGCTTAATCCTGACACCTTCATATGCAAATCGGAGGTGATCCCCCAAAGAGGGTGGCAAAGGCACACCAGGAAGTGTGGTGTCTGGCTGTTTTGACCCCTCTGGATTGGCTCCCTGTGCAGTTAGCAGTCCCCTTGTCAGGGTCTGTGTTATTAACCAGGAGGTTTTTAGTCAGTTGGGCCCCTTTGACACCTTGAGCGCAATGCTGGTTTCAGCATGGGTAGCCTAACCTGACATCACCAGGGTTGACAACCAGTACTCACTTATGAGTTTTCCTCCTACCTAAACAAAAAAAAAAAATCCTTCTTTGAGAGGCCCATTGCCTTGACAATGCTGTAGCCCTTTCCATCACTTCATCCTGGGCAGCCCTTTGGTCAGGGAATCAAATCCTGACTACTACCATTTATCAAGGAGTCCTGTTCTCTATTAGTCTTCTTTTTGCGACAGTCCAAGTCATCAGCATGCTGGTTTCCTATGTACAAAGATAAATGCAATCGATCATTCAGATGGCACACAGCACAAGATCTGACTTATGAGTATACGAGTCCAATTGTTCTTGTAGTGAAGCAATCACTTGACTGATGGTTGATAGCTGCAGTGCTTGCTTCACATTATATGGTTTGGGTGCTTTGACCATCATGAATTAACAACCATTAGGGGTGGAAAGGGAAGACATGAAACAGCTCATGAGGTAGGTCACATGATAGTCATGTGCTCAGACAACATGAAGATTCTGTGAAGTCTCTAAGTCTCTAAACTGTACATACAACTTCTGTGGTGCTGTCATGATGCAGCACAAGTGCAGGGTGAAGACTCATCCTGGTTGAAACTATCACAAATGGTGTCATTGTCTCCCAACATGTAGAAAAATTCTTAGCCTCAAGCAGCAGCACTGGCATTACAGGGACCTAGTAAACAATGGCCTTGTGGGGCAGATACAAGTGTCAGAGAGCATTCCATCAAACTTGGATGCAGAGCATGATGCCACTGCAACTGAAGTCTCAGGTTCATGTTCCTGTAATTGCCTAACCATCTCACAAGCTAACTGATCAGATACCTTTGTCAGATAATGGTGACAGTATTGCAGACTCATCAAGTCCCAATCCAGAATTCTCTGATGACAACAATGATAGATCCTCAAGCTCAAGCTCAAGCTCACATGTGGAGCCCTTGGTTGTGCAAGATGAGGAGTTTGGTCCCTGGGATTGGGTGGAGGACCAAGACTTGGACAAGGAGCTTTGGAGCATGGAGGAGCTTATGGATACACTAGAGTGTGCTGAGAAACAAAAGGTTGCAGAGGAATTCTTTGAAATTTGTAAATAAAAAATGTCTGGTCTGTCAACTGTTGTAAATGAATTTTGTGATAGGGAATGACATCCTCTCTGACAGCGACAGGGACAATATCCAAACATATAATTTGCTTGTGAGGGGAAGGATTGCATAAACTGTGTTCAAGCAAATGTGTTGGGTGTTCCATCACAAAATCAACCTTAACTCTGAATATGTTATCTTCAAACACATCACATGCCATGCAGCTGTCACCACAGCTGAGTATGATTGCTTGCCCTGAATCATGTATTCTCTATTCTGGGAAATACTGACAGCTCCTCATTTGCCCACATTGTCATCAGCCATGGTTCACACCTAATTAAAAGCCCTGCTGTCAATTCACATATTTTCCTCTTGTCCCATGACTGCAAGGGCTCTTCCAGAGCCCTCAAATGATCCACCTGATGGACTATTGAGCAAGCTACGAGTCAACCCCTGGCAGTATCTCAGATGTATTTGATGGCACTCACTACAGGAAATTGGTAGGGGAATACATTGAAATGGATGGCAAAAGGCTCTTGCATCATTACTTTTGTGATCACCATGACATTGCACCTGCTCTCTGCACTGATAGCTATCTGTTGTACAAGAGTAATTGAGGCAAACCAATAGTGACACCAGTTATACTGCAAAACTATAATATTCCACCAACTCGACACACTCATCATGAACATTTAATCTGTGTTGGGATCATTCCCAGTCCAAGGCAGCCAAAGGAGCTTTCATCTTTCCTCTCACCTCTTGATGATGAGCTGGCCAAACTTGCATATGGAGTTCTGACATTTGATGCTGACAAGAGGGTCTTGTTTGACCTACATGTGTACATCATCTTCAAACTGGGAGACATCCTTGCAATCCAGAAATTCCTGGAAATCAAAGGCCATAATTCCATCTTTCCATGCCAACTGTGCAAGATAAAGGCAGTGTATGGTTTAGGGAAGACTCACTACACCATGCTGCAACCCCCAAAGAACACCCCAAACCCCCTTATCTGGGATCCAGAACATCTCCCAATGCACACCCACCATGACTTTATCTCTACTTTTCAGAACATCAGTGAGGCACCATCAAAGGCTGCAAGGGGAAGGATCATGAAGAAGACAGGTATTTGTGGCTTACCTGGACTGTGTAGAGTTGCTTCACTGGATTATGCATGCTCGGCACCCTGGGAGTGGTTTCACCTCCTGTTGGAGAATGTTATCCCAAACCTCATCAATCTATGGACTGGACAGTTCAAAGGTCTTGAATCCAACACTGATGAATTTATGATTGCAGCAAAGGTGTGGGAAGAGATCGCACAAGAAATGATGGCTGCTGTGCAACATATACCCATAGCATTCATACAAGTTCTAGGAAACATTGCCATGAATTGCTCACAATTCACAGCTGATTTGTGATGCTTCTGGTTCTTGTATGTTGCATCCATCTTACTTGAAAATTGGTTTCTGAATCAGAAGTACTATGCTCATGTGTGTGAACTCAGTGTGTTGATGAAGCTCATGTTACAGTTTCACATGACAGAGGAAGAAGTGGGTGACATCGAAGTATGGTTACAAAAATGGGTACAAAAATATGAAAAGTTAGTGTTTTGTTTTTTCCCTTCAATGCCAAGTGCAACAGCAATACTCATAAATTCTTCTTTGTTTGCCAGGTATTATTATCAGTACTGCATCGAATGTCTGCCAGCATGCACACTCACCATCCACAATCTACTTCATGTTGCTGAGGGAATCCATTACTGTGGTCCAGCTTGGACAATGTGGAGCTTCTTCATGGAGAGGTACCATGGGACATTGCAGTGATCAATGCAATCCCATGCCAGCCATGGAGCAACTTGAACAACACTTTACTGCACTCCATCATACTCAAGCAGCTTTCTGTGCACTATGATGTTTTGGCTGAACTTGCTTTGTGGGATGACTGTGGAGATGATGGACCAACAGCATTTGAACATGTATTTGAGGGATGTAAGTACCCCTCATTTCTGGTTTCATGACATGAAACTGAGTGCCACCAACATCAGACTGGGGTGCTCAGCATCAGTCTGGCCAGAAGATGAGGTGGAACACAACCAAGATTACCCTTCCTCTGGAAAAATGTTAGCAAAGGATTCAACCTCAGATTCCAGATGCTCAGCATCAATCTGGCCACAAGGTGAGGTGGAACACATCCAAGATTACCCTTCCTCTGGAAAAATGTTAGAAAAGGATTCAACCTCAGATGCAAGATGCTTGGCATCAATCTGGCCAGAAGGTGAAGTGGAACATAGTGCATCCAGATGCTTTACAAATGACATTGAGAATGATGATGGCCATGCAACCACCACCACCATGCAAATGACAATGCACAGTGCATGGTATAATGGATGATGCTGTGGTGGTGGAACTCACTCAGTCTACCCAACCAAGATTATCCTTTCTCCAGCGAAATGTTAGAAAAGGATTCAACCCCAGATGCAAGATGCTTGGCATCAATCTGGCCGCCAGGCGAAGTGGAACACAGTGAGTCTTGATGCTTTACAGATGACAATGAGAATGATGATGGCCATGCCACCACCACACACATGATGACAATGACAGCATGGAACATGTAATAATATTCTCAATATTTCATGCAGAAATAATTTTTGATGTTTTGCTCTATGATTCTCATGTGGAAAGACTTTATATCTGATTTGATTTTTCGTTGAAAGATGAAAGGCAGAATGTTTCGCAGACAAGCTTTGGAACACAATTCATCATTGCAATACGATATTTGGGCTAAGTAAATACTTCCTACCCCTTTGAACTTTCTGCTCACAAAAAAGCAGATTGTTAATTCCGAAACAAAGTGAGATATGTTGGAGAACTATTTACGATATATCA